TATTGCAGATATGCGGTGTTATATCGGAGAAAAGCCACATAAAGTTATTGCAGATATGCGGTGTTATATCGGAGAAATGCCACATAAAGTACATGTACATGCTTGGCATGTAAAACAAAAATGCAGAGAATTGATCATTTATTTATGACACAATATATGTACATGTATTACGCCTATTACATGCACATATACATGTAATCACTTGTAGATGTATAAGATTACATGTGCTACTAATTGGAAGAAAAAGGAAATCGTAATTTTACTTAACAGCGTGGCTTTGACTAGTTACATGTACTAGGTCATAAATCCTCTCGTTTCAATCGGAATTGCTTTTTAATTTTAACTTGTATTTGCACGAGATCGTTTGACTACCGACTAATGGGCCTCGAATTTTGATAAACCTAGAAACGTGTTCGATAGTGTTGCCGTAGTACATAAATTCATTCGATTTTCGTAATCCAACAGCATGGCTGAGAACGATCTCTTTTACTTGGCTTTTTGCTTATATTATTTTATTATTATCCATATACATGGCCAAGTTAATCCATATATATGTTAGTCTTTTGGAATATTTTCCAGCACTTTAAAATTTTATACTGATAAATTTTGAAGCATCTAAATTAACAGAGACTTTGAATGAAGTAATTAAAGTGGGAGTGTTTTTACTAGAGAAACATATAATAATAGTTTTTTGTATAAATTTGTTAGACACATATTTCCTTTTCCGCAGATTTACCATGTTTCTACCAAAGTTTATAATTTTTTGTTGATTTCTGATTTCCGAAAACGCGCTTGTGTTTCAAACAGGCGCAGAATTTCTGTTCCAATTGTAGAGTCCAGTCCCGTTAGATATCATTAATTTATGGACTAAAAAATAAAAATTAATAAACCTATTATTTAATTATTGATATAAAATACTGCTTTGCTTGCGAGCATTTGTAACTCTTCGTAACGGTTATTAGGATTTCGATCCATCCATCTGGTCGAGCCAACCTTATCATTTCTGGGGATAACATTCTCTTCCCATTGTGTTTCATTAAATGTATCAATCATGAATATTTCATGAACTAACTGTAATCCATCTAACACATTATACTGAATAAACTTCATATTTGGCGGAAGATTTTTCTGTTGGAAGAGCTGGAGATATGTCTATTCCTATGAACTTTAAATTAAGAGTTTGTTGTGCCATATCCAATTTTTACAAATTAATAATCTGTTTACCAAAATTTAAATTCCAGACATCTGTTTATTACATAAAAATTAAAGAGAGATGATAGTATATTAAGAAAACATAACCCAAATATATATAAAGATCAATAACACGAGTTCCCTGTCTTAACATCTCTTCAAAAAGTAAATTCAACAGTCCTTCCCAAATCTTTTATTGCTATAAATTTATATATAATATCAGTTTATAAATTAATAGTATTCTAGATAGGAATCACACAGTTTTTTAGCACCATGATATATATTTAAACGATAAGCTTCTTCATCATTTGCACCCATATAAGGTCGTCCAAAAGATTATGATATCGTCTACAATTGATAAAACGGTGCTTTATGTTCCTTTTCTAAATGACGTCTAGAGTAACACCCTCCCATTTCAGAGCTTAAATATTGAGGAAAACTTTTGAATATAACCTATCGTATATACATGCACATTGTACATTAAATGCAGTATCATGTAATACATTATCAGGCAATATTCTTAACCTTAAAATTGAAAGAATTTTCCGAGATTTTATAACGTCCGTAATATATCAAAAAAGTAAATTGTAACGCCCATATTGTTACATGTAATCGGGCGTTACATGTACAGGCATGTGACTAACCAGGAGATGTACATTTGGTAGACAAAAGTTTATACATGTACATGTACAATCATTTCAGATTCCAGACTTTTGTCTACCGAGTGTACGTCAGGTCATGATTCTTGCTCGCATTAATTTTTGCTTTTTAGAAAATTTTTTTGAGAATTAGATTAATTTTGTAATGCAATCAAACTCAATTTAGCATTGACTAACTTTTTAGTGATATCCCTTTTCTATGTGATATTATAAAGTTTACCTGTATTGATTTATTTTACTTTTTCTATCTAGAATAATGCTAATTGAAATTGATTTTCATTAATAAATTTATTCTTGCTGAATCTATTATTATTACAAGATATTTGTTAAATATCATACCCTTTATTCAAATTGACTTTCTAAAAAGATACTTAAATTATTATAAATCGAACTTGAGAATTGGAAGTGTTTATTAAATATTTTTTATAAATTCTTTAGTATTCTTTTTAGATGCCAACAACTGTATAAAAATTTGTATACTAAGTTTGTATTAATACATTGTACATGTATTAATATTTAATGATAAAAACTTTATATTATCAACAAGTAATTGTTCATTAGGGAACAAATTTCTTTAATTAATTCTTATAGGTCTAGCAAACGCTATGAATTTATTTTACCAAGATAAACTTTTTAATCATATAAATGGTAAATTAGTTGTTCTCAGTAAATTCCCGCAATCGCATTAATTTTCTGCCTAATAATATAGATGCTTTTAGATATAAAGTATCATATCCAATTGGTACTATTATTTATGATATTAATAATTTTGATCTGGAAGGTATTTTAACTTCTGCTGTAATTTCTGAAATCTTTAAGAAAGTTGTAAATTTTTGTTCACATCAATCACAATCCAACTTGAGCTTGTGACTATATCGGGAGTTTACTGTATATTGTTACCGTTAGCATGCAAAATTTTTCCCGAGAATTCATGCTCTTCCTTAAATGCGGGACGCGAAAGTAGAATCTGTGCTCCAAATTTTACCTAATGCTCATCTTGCTGGTTCTGGATGGAAAATGCCCTAATCCACAAATCAAAGACTACACGTACTTTTTTTGAATCGAATCGTGTTCGTATAATTAATTGGCCAGCTAGTTCACCTGACCTGAATTCAATCGAGGATTTATGGGTTATTTTAAAGAAAAAAGTAAGAAAATGTTTAATATTCAAGTTAGTAAAAGGGAGGAACTTGGTTCAAATGAATTCTAAGAAGGAATGGGGATAGTATCAATAAAGTGTTTTTTAATTTTAACCGCGAGTATGTCAGAGCATCTTAATGAGATGAGGGTTGCAATATAGACTTCTAAATTTATAAATATAAAGTATCTATGCTATTTACTATATAGTTTAATTTGAGCAATATATAATAAATTTAATGATTTTTAATAGGTACGAATTATTTCCGAATCTTTATTGCGCGCACTGAAATTGTCTCTTTTTTGATAATACGTCGAATTTTTTTGTCATTGCGCCGGAAGACCAGAGCACAGATTCTATTTTCGCATGTGATACTTTGTAAAAAAAAGGAAAATGATAAAAAAATTAGAATATATTAAGTAAATAATGTTCCAGTTAAGCGAAAATACAGACCCAAAATCAAATGACAATTAGGATATGTTACAAATCCTAACCAAATATAAATAATCTCTCCCTTACTCTGGTCATACCCCTATTCTAATTTAGGCCGATTGTAATTTGGGACAATTGTGATTTGGTGCACAAAATATATACTGGCATGCTCTTGAACCTTAATCAAGAATAAAGTTCAAAGTAATTGAAATAGCATAACCTTTTGCTTGTATTGTTAACAACTTCGATTTATTGCTTTTACAAGAAGAAAGCCAGACTATTAGAATTTTTCTGAAGATAAAAGCCCAGTTGTGTTCCGCCCATTTCGTGAGAATCCCGATCGATATTCACTTCGCATCTTAGAGAGTTCCACTCGTCATTTAATTGAACGCTATTATTATGGTCTTTTTATAATCTTTCATTCAATTTATATCTCTATATGTGCATGATCCATTTTGCTTTTTCAAATAATCTCCAAACTAACTTTTAATCAACGCTCACTCTTAACATAAAATAGCTGTAGTTACTGTCACAATCCCTTTAGGAACTCAGTCAAATATCTTCAGTGCGAAAACTCAATTCATTTTTGAGTTCCAATGTCTTGTTTGTTAAAATTGTCATAGTCATATTCATCTCAGAATTGATTTACAAAAAAAATTACGTCATAAATTCATAAATTAAACAATCAGATTAGACAATCACTATATGTCATACGTCATAAATTGGATCATAAATATCATTATTACACATTCTAAACGTTTTAATCTATAGTCATGGCTTCTCATGAAACATTTATTTTACGTAAAATAATTTGAATTCTGTCCTAACAATAGTATCAGTGTTGGTATTTAATCAACCTATCTCTTGCAATTTTTTTTTTTTTTTTTTTTTTTTTTTTTTTTTTTATTTATGGTGTTTCTAATTTATTGTTATTAGTTATTATTGTTATTAAACTTCCAATTTTATTACTTTTTTGTTG